AAAGATAGCGCGCTTAGCGCCGGCAGATATAGGCGAGGGTTTAACGATTTCGCCGTACCATAGAGCGATCAGTCGTCGCGAATACGTCGAACGCATCGATCGCTCTCCCTCCCGCGAGCGAGAAGAACCGATTTATTAATCACGATGGCTGCGACGGATATCGGTGAACGAGAGAAGACGGCGAAAGAGATCGCTAAGACGCGCGCATCGATTCGTAAAAAACACAGAGCGTTAAAAACTGGCAAAATGGAGAACGAGATCGCGATGGAGAGCCGTTTTAAGCCAATCGTCGACCCGCTGCGGCGCATCGCCAAGCGCGCCGAGCGGGATGAGATCGAGCGAGATGAGATTAAACGCGAAATGATAAAGCGAGACGCGATCGACGCTTCGCCTGTAACGACGAGCGTCGAGGAAAAATGGAATGAGGAAAAATGGAAGGAGGAAGAGTTGACCCCCGCTTGGAAAAAACCTAAAGTGAAACGAATACGAGCGCGACGACGATTAGATGCCGTTTCTACTCCGTCAAACGTGTATCCTATCGAGAGAGATCCATTCGCGCGGGACGAAACTGAAGAGGAAACGTTCGAACCTGAAAATCTCGAGTCATCCTCAACGTTTGAAACGTCTGTTAAGCGAACTTTGCAAATTTCTCAAGATTACAAAATGCCGCACGGCCGGTTAGGACCGTTGGGACGAAAATACTTGGGGGCTCTTCTCGGCGGAGAAGCGCCAAATGAGATCGATCACGTTTACGGAGTGTACATGAGCGCGAAAGGCGCGATGCTTGGCAATAGGCGATTCAATATAGACGCGGATGACTCCATACTTATAGATGAAATTAAATACATCGGTACCCCCGGTTTATACGAATTAATCTTCATAAAAAATCCTGATAGTCTCACATATACGGAAAAGGATAAATTAACATACAAGAGTATATTGTTAACAACGAACGCTCATAAACGCGACCATGACGCTAAAAAATCTGTTTTAGGAAATAAAGGATACAAATACAAGTTCGTTATCGCTCCGCTTATTCACGGCAGCAGCGCAAAAAAGATGGGTGCGGGTCGCGTACCGTCAACCATGCGAGTCACGAACGATAGAATCGATTACATTCATTGGGACGATCCAAACGAATTAGTGGATCGTCTGCGATTGCTGGACGCTTCGCGTCGAGCTGGCAACAACGCTCACGAAAACAAGATTCTATCGATAATCGAGGAGCTTCGCGAAACGGGAGCGATAGTATAAATCGAACCGTCGCATCGACGATCGCCGCAGTCGTGCGTGGAATTCGCGATGTCCGTGAGCAAATTCGGCACGCCTTTAAAAAACCGCGGCTATGACGCGAGAACCGGAAGACTACGTCCGGCTATCGAATCTCTGCGAAATTACGTGCGCGATAACGCGCTGTGTCTAAGCTCTTCCGCCGAATACGACGCGAGAGAGCGCAAGATAAAGCGTCTGGCTAAGCCGGAGGAGGACGCCGACGCGACGAGCAAAAGCTACGTTGAAGGAATTACGTCGCAATTGAGAAAAGACG